CTGCCCTTCACAGTCCAAAGATCATTCTCCTTGTCAAAGAAAGCAGAAGCAAAGTAAGCACTGAGTAATTCTTCTCCCACTGAGTGTAGCTGTCCTATCCCTTCTCTGATCATCCTCTTCCCTCCAATATAGCTAAAACCCAAAACCATTGTCATTGTCCTTAGCTTTCTTTGACAGCTTCAGCTCATTCTTAGCTTTAGCCCCATTTACACCATTCTTACAGTGTATTCATTCTGTTACTTGCTCTTGCAGACTCTTTTGCTCCATTTCATAAGATGTAAATTGGCTGGGAGAGTTCCTTATGCGTCTATATTCATCTCTTGAGACAACTCCCCCTTTCCACTTCATGATTATGCCTCTTTATGTCTCAATATTTTTATTCTTGAGGGATTCACTGATCTTCATCCAAAAGCTCTCCATCATGTTTCCCAAAATGTTTCTGAATTTTCTCAGTTGTATCTTCTTAATCTAGACAGTTAGCAATTTCTAATCCCCCTTTAAACTATCATCTTACTTAGAATAAGGCACATTCTTCTAATTCCATAACCCAGGTATGGGTTACATTCTACTAGATCTCAGTAATACTTATGATGTCAAATTGCCACCTTATATAAAGATCTTCAGTTCTTCTTGTTTTTAATTTAGCCAAACTTTGCTGAGTCTAGACATGTACTGCCATAAGTTTTATTACTGCTGGTTTCTTGAATTGGGTCTCTTGAGACCCCTTGGGACATCTTTACTGCTATTCATAGTTAGATTTTATGGCATCTAGCTTGGTGGCTGTATATAAGCAGTTTTCTTCTTCCTGCCCTCTTTTAGGTTAAAGCCTTTTTAATCAGATTTGAAAGTTCCCTGCAAATACATTTTTAGTACCTTTTTTTAGGTGAAACAAAACCTTTCTCTAAGACTGATATTCCTGTAGTTCAATCTATCGTCCAGAAATTCAAATCCCATTCTCAGATATCATCTTCTTAACCAGTTGGTTTTTCATCTCTGGGTTGTTTGCTTCCAAGGGATGACTGATAAAATCCACTATGCCCTTAAGGTCTTCAGTTTCTCACCCAAATCTTCATTAATTCTTTTCAGGTTTCTTCAAGCAGTATCATTTATACCCCCGTGAATCACCAAAAGAGAGTATTAATTATCCAGCTGGGCAAGTCTTGGGAGGTTCCTTATCATGTCTTCCATATACACTCCAGGAAGATATAGACATCTTCTCTATTGTTATTGGGCTGGTCAAGGGCAGTCTAAGGACTCAACAACTACCATTTCTCTTCCTCCTCTGACCCTTTCCAGCAGATCTCCCACCTCCCATCACCAATGGATAGACCTACATCATAATTCCTTAGAGGACAAGGAACTGGTTCCTCCTCAGAATACGCTGACCCCTGCCTTTCAGGAAGGGGCACCAATCTGTTTCTTAGGAACGAGTGCACCATAGCCCTTCTTATTCCCTTTTTCTTTTATGTAATATTCTTTCATTTTCCAATGTTCTAACTTAGGTCAAGCATTTCCTCAACTCAGATCCTTTTTCTTATGATTATCATTGCTATAGTATTATTATTATTGATTTATGTACCAAAGCTCCATATGGTGCTGAAGCACTGTTTCACTATGCCATCCCATTTCTAAGGAGTTGACTTCCAAATCTGTTATCCAAACCTCCCTTCTTTGAGGCAGAATCACATCTCTAACTGCCTTTCAGACCACCTGAAAGATCTCCTGGCCCCTCAATCTAAACATGTACCAAAACAAGCATATGATATTAGTCCCTAAATCTGCTTCTTCTGACCACTATTTTCTGTCAAAAGCACCTAGATTTCCACATTCATCCAGGGCAGAGGTAGAGGTATATGATAAGAGGCAGAAGAAGTAGAAAACCAGCCAAAAAAAAAAATCAACAACAAAAAAACTCATTCTTTAGGAGAAATTTGAATTGTTCTTTTGTCCACTTCAATTCTCATAGAATCTTTGAGTTGGAAAACACCAAAGAAGTCATTGTCAGTCTTAATCAGTTCATATAGCTTGATGAAAGGCAGTGACCTAAAAGGATCACCTCAGCTTGCCAATCTCCTTGACCAGGAGATAAAAGGTGATTCCAGGAGGCTTCCTATTCCAACAGATAAAGCTCTTAGTCTAGGCCCAGCCCACATTTCTTCTACATCCTCCTGCTAGTCCAAGCACTGCAAAGTAGCCTGTCCCAAACATGATGCTTACCTTCAGTAGTCCCATGATTCTCAGCCAACAGGTGCAGACGAGGGCTTCTAGCAGGTAATGGATGGTGACAGCCACCTTGTGGCACTTGGTGGCATTACCTCCTCCTTACCTGACACTCCCACACTACCTATTTTAGCTGGCAAACTTACAAAGTAATCACCAACCATTTTATTTTAAGTTGTAAAAACCACATGCCAAACAGAATGTATTTTCCATATTAGAGTCAACAAAACTTTTACTTTGAGATTTCATGGTACCTTTTGAGATCAAAGACATCAGGGAATGAGGGAAGCTTGAGAGATCATCTAATTGAATCCCATCATTTTACAGATGAGGAAACTAAGGTCCAGCCAGAGAGATGAAATGATTTTCCATGGTCACATGTATAATACATTGTAGCACTGAAGTTTAAATCTAAGTCCTTTAACTCAAAATCTAGAATTCTTTCCTATTTCCATTGAATAATTTAAAGATAGATGACGGATGGATGGATGGATAGATGGATGGATGGATAGATAGATAGATAGATAGATAGATAGATAGATAGATAGATAGATAGATAGATAGATAGATGAGAGACAGTCAGGAGATGTGGGCTAATGTAGTTTAAATGGCCTGAACATACATTTGCTTGGTTATTTTCTCTATTTATCTGGACCAGCACTAAGCACTAGAGATGAATAGGGAGGCATGTTTTTTTCCTGAGGGACAAGAGAAAATAAAGTGTGAATTTCTCAGCAAGTATATTTCTGGTAACATAGGCTCATCAATCATAGATTTTGAGCTGGAAAGGACCTGAAATCAACTAGGCCATCCCCTACATTTTACAGATGAGAAGATTAAGTCAGAGAGAGGTTAAGTGACTTGCCCAGGGTCATACAGTTAGTAAATGTCAGAGACGGGATTTGAACTTGGGTCCTCCTCACTCCAAGTCCAGTGTTTTATACTTACTATGCCATGCTGCCCCTAATAATTGACATTGAGTTAGCTTTATGTAATTAATAGTATAGTTACCATGATTTTGATGGGATTCAGTTTCTTTATGGGCAACATGGGGGTGGGGGTGGGAGGCAGGCTGCTGTAGTAGAAAGAAGACAGGATTGGGAGCCAGAGACTTTGGACATGAAACCTGGTTCTGTCGCTCCCTGTCTAACCTTGGCTAAGGCATTTCACTTCTCTAGCTGTCTCCTTGTTCATTGTAAAATGAGAAGGTTGGACTAGATGTTCACCAAGATCTTCTACCTACAAGTCAGTGAAATGATGTGGAGGATCCCTCAAAGCCCCAATATTCCATAATTCTTCTAACTCAAGAGAAACCTGAATTATTATTTTTTCAATCATCTCACTCTCCAAAGATGAAAATGGGTGGCCTTACTCAAGTATACAGTTTTTCTATGCAACTACTTAAAAATATTGAAAGTGACTTCTGGACCTTGAGATAATGAGTATGTATTTTCTCAGTGATGCTTTAAGATCTGAAAATATATTCAACCAATGTATCATTCATATCTGTTCCACTTGCACCATAGTAAATGAGGATCCTTTGCAATGGATTCCTCAAGTCCCAACGGTGAATCTCACATAGAACACTCAAGTGTTGGCAAGACTGTGGCGTTTGGGCAGGAAGTGTCCTGTGGCAAATATGAGGGCAGATATTTCAAAAGGACTCAGATTGAGCTACTCAGTAATAGCTACTCAGACTTGCTGGGTATTTTAATAACATTCTGCTTTAAACCGGGTACTGCCACTGTTATTGTGTGCCCTGGGTTAAGTCACTTCACTTCAGAAACCAGAGGCAAACTGTATATAAAATCACAGACTATCCTCTCCACCTCCCAGGACTCACCCCTGAACACATGCTAGGGGATGAGGCATCAGCAGATTGGGAGACTGGCTGTTCCTGCCTTTGTCACCTCCACAGTGAGGAAGAGGATGGTGGGCTGTGAGGGGCACCTGATGGGAAGAGGAAGATAGATACATGCATGGGAAGATCCCATGCAAGCTTTGGGCCATTCTTGGCCCAACAACTCCGCTGAGAACTGCCATTTCCAGAGAACACTTTCCAGAACAGGAGTTCAGATTTTAAAGGAGAGTTTCCCCTTCTTCAGCCCAAATGCAGGTGATTTCATTGAGAGGATTCAGTGGGGTGGAGGTGTGATCCAGGAGATCCACTCCCAGGACTAACCCCAAGGACACCACCTCTGGTCCCTAAAGCTCCATGCCACTCCCTGTTCTGCTCAAACCCTCAGAGCCACAGAAAGTCAAGGCTATAGGAGATAAGCAAATTGACCAAAAGAAATTAGGGAAGACACTCCTGTCCCCTTCACGGCCCAAGTTATTCCCACTTGGGAGATGAGCATATCTTCCAGAATGGGACACATGTGCCGTGGTACAGTATTTACCCATACTTGAGGGGACCTTAGTCTTGAATACTAGTGACAGGCTCAAGCAGCCTATGCTGTTGCTCCACACATACGTATGCTTCCCCAAAGCTGGCTACTACCACTGAAAGATTCCGCTTTGCAGGAGAAGTTCCTGAGATGCAACTACAGAGTTCTGTCCATTTCTAAAATCGATATATGGGAAACCATTTGCACCAGTTCCTTCGAAATGAAGCTAACAAGTATTGTGAGTACCACAAAGTAGCACCGGAATAGCACCTTCTAAGCAATGGTTGAGACTATAAGCATGTGGGCTAGCCAGCCCCACACTTCAAGCCAAGAGTGACGTCAAATTTTACTGAAATCGGACTCCCCTAAAGTTCAATAGCATTAAAGCTACTGTGCTCATAAATACACATTTATTTCATTAGAAATGCATAATTACAGTTCAATAGCATTTTCTCCTAGAAAAGTAGTTTAAGCAACAATTCCATCAAAATTGTTAGTAGTCTTTTTTTCAAATACCTATTTCATTACACTGAACAGAAAACACTTAGCCAAAGGCCTCGGATACTTACACTCATTTTTTTTTCCAATTTTTTTTTTCTTTTTGTTATAAACACCATAGCAAATTAAAAAAAGCCATTTAAACAATGAAAAATATTTTAGTTCTTGATTTTTCTATATGTAGTAAAGTATCTGCTCCAAGCTTGCTTCCATATTTCTCTAGACTCCCAAACAGTATATGACTCGGAAGAAATGGGAAGGGCTGCTGGTGGGGGATGTTAATTTATTTTTGAACTTTTGATTTTGCAGGAGAATTTTTTTTGTCCTTGGAGGAGGATTTCGCTGTCTGTAAGTGCACTCTAACAGAATATATATATATATGTGTGTGTGTATATATATATTGACCTCCCATGCATTAAACCATGAGGACAACATGGCTTCAGAACAATGATCACGTACAGGGGATCGCCAGCCTTATTGGCTGGCGATCATTTTCCCCTTAGGTCTCTGGATGGAAGCCACGACCAATCAGCATAGTCGGATCCGCAGCACCTGGGTCCCCATTTCTGCCTCACTGGATCTGGATGGCGCCATGCTCAATCTGCATTTCTGGCTGGATAGTGGACTGAAGGGCATCCGTGCTCTACAACAAAGTTTTAAAAAGGACATCTATCAGGATATATGAACAGAAGTCACTGAATAGAAGGAAACCACCTTCAGGCCTCCTTCTCCCCAGACATGAAGTTGTCACCAAGAATAGTAAGAACTCAGCACTAGCCCAGCTGCTCTCATTTGGCAGGGTCTCCCGTCATCCTGTCCACTTCTCTCTCTTTCTGCACTATTTTCTCATGCAAAAATAACACCACTGCATTAACAGAATGCTTTACATACATTACTTCATTTTGAGGTAAGTGGTAATATTAACCCCATTTTTCAGATGGGAGAAATGAGGATTAGACAATTGAGGTGACTGGACTAAGGTCACCCATGAGAATCCGCACGACTTGAAGCGGATCTTCTGGTCGTTCTACTCTACTGTGCAGCTAGGTGGCGCTGTAGATAACGCATGGGCCCTGCAGTCGGGAAGACAGGAGTTCAAACCCTACCTCAGACACCTATTAGTTGTGTAACTTTGGACAAGTCACTTTCCCTCTGCCTGCCTCAGTTTCCTCAAATATAAAAAAGGTAGAATAATAACACTTACCTCTCAGAAATGTTAAAAAAGATCAAAGGCAATAATAATTGTAAAACACCTAGCACAGTGCCTGGCACATAGTAGGAACTAAATAAATGCTTATTCTCTTTCCTCTCCCCTGATCCTGTTTCACCTGGATGACAAAATCCATTTTTTCAATTCTTCTCTTAAAACAGCTCTTGTGCCCATACCCACCCAATATTCTTATTCACCTGACAAACACCTTTAGACTTTTTAATCTATATATTATATCTTTAGTAACACAAATATGGCATTACTATAAAAAAAAAATTTTAAACCTGTGGAGTCCCTTGGCAAAGGACTCCAAGATTAAAGAGAGGTTCTTAAAATATATACAGTGACTTTCAAGAAATGAGACAGGTTTTCTTGAATAAAAATAAGAGATGGCACTTTAAGGTTTGTGAAGCACTTTTACAGACACTCTCATTTGAAGGACAGATGGATTATAGATGCACTGCTAGCAGAGACCCAGTCCAACTCCCTCAATTTATAGATAAAGGAGGGGGAAAAGAGAGAAAAAGAAGGAAAGGAGAAGGAGGGAGGGAAGAAAAGAAGGAGAGGGAGACAGAGAGGGAGAAAGAAAGAAAAAGAAGAGAGAAGGGGAGAGGGGAAGGTGGTGGACTCTTCCTGGTTACACAGGTAGTAAGTAGCAAAGGTGGGAATTCAAGCCTCGGGTACTTTTAGTCCAAATTCAAAAGCCTCACCACCATGCTGGTAGAAATCAATCTCCTCACTTAAGAGGCCAATTAGAGAATCAGTGGGACCACTTGATAAATCTCTTTGGAGAATGTCTGCAGAGGGATGAAAAGGAAAAGGCAGAGAATGTGAAGAGTTGCTGTGCTGAGACATTTTCCTAAAGACAGCAGCTGGACCAGGTGCCCAGGCTACCTACAATTATCTAGTAACCCCTGGAAGGGTATGAGAAACCACATTCTAATCTTGAACAGAACCAGGACATGACAGGCCACACCCTCTTCTGGCTGCCACACCTGAAGAGAACTATATTGGATTGGGGGAAGGGGAAAGGAGCTGGACCTTTTATTCTAGAAGGCCAATGGCCAGAGCTCATCCCAAAGAGCTCGCAGCATAAGGTAAACATAGCTTAGGATTCTAGAGCTAAGAGGCTTTCGTGGAAAGTTAAAAGGTAAGTGGGACAAATAAAAGATGGGATGTGTCATAGAGGGAGTGGCCCTCATTATCCTGCAGGACAGCAAAGACAACTGGCTTCCAAAAAGGCTTAAGGTGGACCAGAAGGAGTCACTAGGGGAAACTAGAATGCTTCAAGGTTGTTATTAGTGAGGGCACATATTCCATGATGCTCCCCTCCCCATCAGGGATAAAAATAAAATCCTGACTTGGATGGACCATAAGGTTGACCCAGTAAAGCTATTCCCCCATCTTTACATTCTTGGTATCAGACTAAGGACAAGGTAGGAGCCTGAAACAATGCTAGGACTGCTGCTTAAGCTAGTCACTAAGCCATGAGATGAAAAACACAAAGTCTGCAGGACTGAGAAGACAAAGTAAGAAAGAAAGAAATACGAGCTACTATTTGTGAAAGGTAGAGAAAAGAACAAGGAAAACGACAAAAAGGAATGAGTAAAAAAAAGCAGGAGAGGAAAAAAGTATTTCCTCTTTAGAAGAGAAAAAACAAGTTGACATTAAAAACAACATTTTACACACACACACACACACACACACACACACACACACACACACACACACACTCCTCCTCAGTCCACTGGGACAAGTTGGAAGGAACTTTTCGACAGGTAGAATGGAAGAAAATACAATGTGCCAGGATTGAACATTTTATTATATCACTCCCAGCATTCCATGGTATCATATGGGACATACTCTAGAGTCATTAAAAGAACACTGGTTTAGAGTCAGAAGACGGGATTTTGAGTCAGACATCCGACATTAGCTGTGTAACTCTGAACAAATTAATAAGACAAATAAACAGAAGGGGAACAAATCATTTAACCTCTTTGTTGACTCAGTTTATCTGTAGAATGGGGGTAATACTTATTCTACCTAAATCACAAGGTAGTTGTAAAGCACTATTAACCTTCAATATACTCCAAAAAAGAACATTATTATGATAACTATTAAAGGATATTAAATCCATCTATCAATAAGGATTTATTAAATGTCTAGTATGTATCAGGCATTATGCTAGACACTGGGGGTTACAAAGACAAAAAATAAATTTGCCCCTGCCATGGAGGAGTTTATATTCTCAGGCGCAGTAGCAGTGAGAGAAACCAAAACACCAGCCGGCTTCCCTAACGCCACCCAACAGGACTGTTGAACATGATGCTGTTTAAAGAATCACTCCTTAAGAGAGTGGAGAAGGGCAGAGGTCAGCAATGCCAAAGCAACCCTGGATCTACAGAGAAGACAGGGAACTTCAGGGAAGGGGGAGGGGAGGACACCTACTGAGGATCCAGATCCTAAGTGACTTAGGGGTAGGAGACAGGTCAGAAAGAGGTTGGAACCAAGGATGTGCCATCACAACCATGACCGCAGATAATAATGTTACCACTGTTATTGTCAAAAAGTTACATGTTTGTTTTATCATTATCATAATAGCTGACATTTACACAGCAGTTTAAGGTTTGTGAAATACATTATAAGTGTTATCTCATTTCATCCTTACAAGGAAATAGGTACTATTATTATCCCCATTTTACAGATGTGGAAACTGACATGACTGGTCCAGAGGTCACACAACTTGAAAGTTTCTGAGGCAGGACTGGAACTCGGATCTTCCCGACTCCAGGTTCAGCAGTCTATATACAATGTGCCTCCTAGCTCCTTCCTAAGCTTTAGAACTAGAAGGAACTCCAGAGCTTGTTTTAGAAATAAGAACACCCGAGGACAAGAGAGATGAAGTGATCTGGCCATGTTTACTCATCCACATAGTGTAGGAACAGCCAGGATTTGAACTGAGAGCCCTCTGATGTCAAAGCCCTTTTCAGGGAGCTATGAGCATCTGAGTACCAATCTGCAGGCTGTCTATGAGGGAATGTTTCCCATGCTCCTGGGTGAGATGTGAGTGGGGACTGGCCGAATTTAAAAAGCATGATAGCCCTCAGAAGGTAACTAGGTAACTCTTACGCATCCACAGCGTCAGGATACACATTTATAACTAAAATAAGTTGAAGACTTCAAAGTGACGTAGGCTTCTTCTGACACGTAAAAAAAAATCCTCGAAAGAAAATCAGGAATAATAAGCACTTACAGAAGTGAAGTAAAACAACGTCCACATCCGTTTTTGAGGATGTCTGCGCTCCTGCTGAGTGTGAGAAAAACACGCCCCCAACATCTATGATGGACCCATGGAATTAAAGATGGCTGGCCTCCCAATGACTTCACAAGTGTCAGTTTCATTCCATTTTTGTAAACAAAATACCCAAGTCATCCTGCAGACTTCGGGCACAAACTATCAAATAAGTAGCCACTTGAATACAGGGCTGACTATGTGAGCCCATTTGCCTCTGAGTGTGAAGATCACAGAGTCAAAATAGAAAAAGGAAAAGAAAGTACTTTTTCCTACTGAAATGGCAAACTTCAGCTTTCCTATCTACCTCGTGAGTTGCGCCGAATTGACTGAGACTGCGAACGTAATGGACAAGCCAAGTAAATCATAATAAACACAGGCTCCTCTAGCTTATCCTCTATAAGACCGCTAGGTGGCACCATAAATACAGTGTGGAGTCTGGAGTCAGGAAGACCTGAGTTCAAATTCAGCCCCATACATTTAATAGCTTACCTTACTTAATAGGACCTACCTCTCAGGATTATTGTGAGGATTAAATGAGGTAATATTTGTAAAGTGCTTTATGAACCTTAAAGTACCACATAAATGCTAGCTGCCGTCATCATCATCATGGATTTTAGATGTGAATGTCTTATCTCGAAAGGAAACTATATAATGTATAACATAATTGTATAACCTCTTCCTGCTTCTTTTGTGCCCCACTGCAACCTCTCTTGTAGTCTGTTTGCCTCAGTTTCTTCAATTGTAAAATGGGGTTAATAATAGCACCTACCTTGTAGAGTTGTCCTGAGAATCAACTGAGATATTTACAAAGTGCTCAGTATGATGCCTGGCACGTAGTAAGTGCTTAATAAACACTTTTTCAATTTCCATTCCTTTCCTTTTCTCTGATGCACCTCATACGCTATAATAGATGCACACTGAATATCTGTTGGTTGGTTGATTGGGGAAAATGTTCTAGATGCTCCAAATAAGCCCTATTTCCTCTAATGGAAAAAAAAAAGCATTTTATGCTCTGACTGGGTGAATTAAGGCAAAGGGGATTTGCAGGTATCTAAAAGCAAACAAAGGGCAGCTAGGTGGTGCAGTATATAGAGCACCAGACCAGAGTCTGGAAGATTCATCTTCACAAGTTCAAATC